CCCGAGTAATCTTTCCTCCAAGCTCTTGTGTGACTATGTTCACAACCTCAGCACTCTTGTATACGTCGTCCGTACTTATAGCAACCTGTTATGTACAACAAATAAATTTTATGATCAAATGGGAACAGAAATGTGACGAACTGGTTTAAGCTTCCAGAAGGAAATATAACATAATAAATGCGTATTTACCAACCTGTGCATAAGCATTTCCCTTGGTGTATTCAGTAACACCATAGTTATACGTAAGCTCCAACACAGTTGTCTCTTGCTCGTCTGCGTACCCAAGCATGACTATAGTATACTGTAATACATGTAACATAATACAGGAAAAATTTTTAAGTCAAAGCTTTGGTACAATATATGTCCTGGCTTGAGTGGAATGCTAAGAAGAATAAGGAAACTCACCTTTTGTTGAGGTCTATCAGCCCTCTTCACGACCCTCAAACCTAAAGCCTGCACAAACATGATCCAATAAGAACCAAAAGATGAACCAAACATGATCCTTAGTCAATAAAACCCAGTTGAATTAAGGTGTGCTTGATTTCCCATTATAATGGCTCAACAACCAACATAAATGGATTGGATTGAGAAAGCATCCAAATGTGTGCCATAAAAAATACCAAACACACCTAAAGAACAAAAGTTAAAAACATGATATACCAGATGCAATATCAGGATTTTTAAGTCCATTACTAGCAACGGTTCATAATTTCCAATCCAGATCCAAAATGCCACACAAATCAAGGAAAGATGTCATTCAATTATCAATATAAGCACTACATCCTACACAACCCCAGGCTTCACTCTCCACATTCCCCCTAAAAAGAGAAAAGGACAATGGTAAGTAGAGCACCAGGTAACATGCTAGATAATCCATTCATGAAACTTCTCATAATAACTACCAGTTTTTGGGTTAGTTGGTTAATACCATGATATAGAGCTGTATGACCAAGACGGTAACTCAAAATGCACGTAGTAGCTTAAGCTTTTAGGCAGTTAGTTCAAGGCATGACGGCTGGAAGTGGCTTTTATATTGATAAGAAAGAGTTACTTATTGTGTGACTGAATGTACTGAACACAAAACCTTCTCTTTGGAATTTCATCCCACATGCCTAGAAACAATGGAGTATAAACAAGGCAAGAGATCATTGAGGGCCATAATACAAAGAAGTCTTAACATCAGAATATTAGCACAGATAAGCAGACAATAGCAAAAAAAAATTGAAAAATTTTAAATTTAAGTTGACAAACATGAATATTTATGCAACTGTAGCATAAATAAGCATATGACAGAATATTTGGTTTATATTAAAATACATGCTCGTGAAAAGAAAAACATGACTAGGACTGTTACCTTTTCATAAAATTTTATTGAGCGCTCTAAATCACCAACACGAAGCATTACTTGGCACAATGGCTCAGGGGTTGAAGGTCTTTGGATGAGCTCAAAAATATAACCGTCAGGGTCCTTCACAAAGGCAATAACAGATATTCCACCCGTAACAGGAGCAGGCTCCCTAGTGATATTTCCACCCTTGGCCCGGATGTTTTCAACCAATTTGTAAACCTAAAAGCAGAAGATATATACACTTCAATTTCGGTACAAAAGGTCAAAGAATGGTCAGCGGTAAAGGCAAGACTCTGGCTTACATCTGGAGTTGAAATAGCAAAATGCCCAAAGCCAGTTCCAATATCATATGAGGTCACCCCATAATCTGGCCAAAAGCATCACATGTGTGTGGAGGTAAGTAATGTCCAATTCCATACAACACAAAGGATGCTAGACAAAAGGTACATAAATCAGAGGATAGCAAGAAAAAATAAATATACACAGGAACATACTATAAGTCAATTCCACAACAAAGTGAGATTGTTCAGGGCCATATCCAAGAAAAGCATTGGCAAATTTCTCTTCTGGAACATCTCTTTTCCTCAAAAGCTTCATCCCAAAACATTCAGTGTAAAACCTGAACAATAGGTAGGAAATTCAGTGTAAAGCACACGTGACAGCGAATTTCAACAACGCAGACCAACAAAATCCTACTTAATGGTGCGATCAAGATCACCAACACGGTACACAGCATGCAGGAAGCGGCGCTTATCTTTCTTTGGCCACTCCAACAACTCAGCATTAGACTGTGTAGCCTCAGTCATATTCAATCTGGAAGCAAATGCTCTGCAACACCACCAAGAAGCGGTAATTAACATATCAAATTCAAATAATACCAAGTAGTGGCCATACCAAAAACTGATCTAGTTAAAAGAAAAGTCAACTCGTTAACATAAAAGACATAGTTAATAGAGTAACAAACAAACAGACGCTTCAGGCTTCAGCCTTCATTCATAGGTTTGGAGCCAGGGCATAGAAAAAAGTTATAACCCACGCCGATTGCAAAATGAATCAAATATCATACATCGATACATATTTCATTTCGAAATTTATGTAAAAGCTAATTTGAGTATAGGAAATGAGATTGCCCCAGGTTTATAACCCACCAAAAAGATTGATTCTTTAAGGATTTAACAAGATGCAGAGCGATTTAATTACGAGGGTTCCTTAACAGCAATGGTGTCTTTAAATGTTACAGACAGAGATAAAAAAATCAAAGAGAGAAAAACCCCACTGAGAGAGAGAGAGAGAGAGAGAGAGAGAGAGAGAGACATCTAACCGTTGAGATAGGACGAGTGTAAGAGAAAAGGGACAAACAATAACTATCTTACAACCGAGGACGTGTTGCTTTATAAGTAACAATAATCATCTGAGGGACTGAATCAGAGATTGATAACGTAACCGCCTGTTACAGATATTAATAATGTATAGGGACGGAGTTCTGGGTATTGTGATGCATTGAGTCACAGCTTACCCTTCCCACTTTCTTCAATTATATTTACTGGACAATTTTTTACTTATTATGGACATTAAAATTAATATTGCCTCTCAATTCCTATATATTCAGAATCAACTAATTTAATAATAATATTAATTTATTTAACAGATGTTTTTTAAATTATCCTTAATCATGTTTGTCATAAGATGATTCTTAGAATTATATAAGGATATTTTCTAAAAAGCTTTAGAAGTTTAAACTGCCTTATATTTAAATTTGAATGCAATAAAAATTATTTTTATGAATGAGTCGGAGGAAGGGATCGTAATTTCATTACAAAGTTTTATTCATTTGTTTAAGGGCAATTTCTTGAGCAGCAAACTATGAATTGATATTCTCATTGAATGTAACTTTAGAAGCATGAAATTATATTTTTTATTGATTATAAACAAGACAAAGAGCCCAACTAACAAAATTACAAAATCATTCTAAAGAACAATTCTAGTCGGGCTGATTTAACAAGGGATATGGAGGAATAATCCAGAGGGGGTTGTAAAAAAAATTTTAATATTTTTTACATAAAAATATACGTTATTTAATATATAAAAAGTTTGTCTGAAAGATGAATTGGATACATCACTTGGGCTCAATAGGCTTCATAACTCATGTTACAACACTTATGCAATTGCTTATTGTACCTCTTTCTATTTTTCTTCCTGCACTCTCATAACATCTGTAAATTCTATTTTATTTCTGTTAAAATTTTTAATAAATCTAAATATCTTTTCCAGAATATATTTTGAATTATGTATTCAAAAAGAAATCTTCAAATTAGAAAACACACAATCCAAAATATAAATTGTACTTTTTATAAGTTACATCTCAAATTATCCATTTCAAAATATATTTTCAAATTGAAAAAAAAAACTTCTAGAATACATATTCTAAAATCTATAAGAATATATATATATATATATATATATATATATATATATATATATATATTGGAAATTATAAATTTAAATTTGAGAATGTTTAAAAGCTAGAGAATCGTGCTCTCAGTCTTCTTGGTAGAACTTGTGGTATCAATGTGAACTTTTTTAAGAAAACATTAAACCAGAACTCAAACACTGAAAATGAAATAGATTGTTGTAGAAAGAAAAAAAAAGGATGAAGATGGAATAATAAAATTCATTCTCGTCTCATTCTATTATTATTTATAATTCTAGACTAGACAATTTACAATGTGTTTTTTGTTTATAACCTGGATTAATATACAATTCGAAATTTATTTTTAATTAAGAAATACATTCTGAATTATATAATCTATTATTATTATTATATTATTATTATTTTTCTTAATATTATTATTACTTATAATATTAATAATAAAATATAATTTTTTTTATTTTCTAGATTTATTGAATTTATTAGTTAAAATAGTTATTTAATATTAATAAGATATTATTAAGAGTAATTGAAATACAATGATAAATAGAGACCGATCATAATAATTTTATCTAATATTTAGAATTATTTTTATATGAATATTTTATTTATTGTCTAAATTATTATATTTATTAATAAATATACTCCTTTTTATTATTAAATGTAATTTAAATATAATGTGTTTTTTTAATGCATTTATGACTGTAAAATTCATAATGTATTTTTAGATTACACAATGAAATATGTTTTCAAAGTTGGAATAAAAATGAAGAATAATATTGGGTTATCATGTTCCATGGGAGTGCAGGAAGAAAAAAAAAGGTACAGGAAGAAAGTGCCCTTTATTCAGGTAAGTTTAAGAAAATAAAATACACTAATGGGGTAGAGTCATGCCTGCTTGCACCTTATTCCAGTGTAAAGTCTTATTATTAATAATCTATACCTATACTTAGATATTAATAATTAAATACTAATATTTCTCTAAAATGTTTAATATTTATTATAATAATAACTAAAGAAAAATTAATAATTTTATTTGAAATACAATTAAGTGAAAATTTAAAATATATAAAAGTATACATTTTCTAAAATCTTCCTATGTATAAAACTGAATATACATTTATTAAAAATAACGCGTCATTATAGGAATCACAGGGCACGCAACCACAAAAAAAAAAAATGTGATTTAAGAAAGTCTTATAAGATTTTTTTCTTTATTATTGAAAATACTGGAAGTCTCTCCAATTCTTCCAAAGCACGTCTAAACCCTCATCCACCCCATTTTAATTTGATAGTAATTGAACTATTCAGTTTCAAAAGTTTTCTGAATTACAACAGAAACACAAGAATTTGCCATTGTTGAAAACGTGGATGGCGAGTGAAAAGTCGGTGCTTGCCGTGATCAGGGCCGCGAGGCCAACCTTCCGCAATCGAAACGATAAAATCGCCTTTGCCATTCACTCCTCCTTCCTAGCCTCCGGCTATGTCCTTACCGCCACGGGTCCCCAGGCTCTCTCCGACAATGTGTTTTCTGACCCATCAAATGGTAATAATGAAGAAATTTAAGAAACCAAACTTTTCCCTTTATGCTTCCCTTTTCATTTTTTGTTGCTTATTTATTATGTTTGTTGATGTGCTGTGATTTGTGTGTAGATGAAGTATCCGTTGATAACTGGAACGAGCTAAACGAAGAGTACGCGTTCGTTTACGCGAATCCAGAAAAAGGGTCGGAGAAAGTGCTTGTCAAGTGCCTTGTCATGAATGACAAATTGCTAGTTCATGTTTTGTCTCAAGGGTCGTCCGAGCCTTTAAGCCTCGAGATTGAGTAAGTGATACTATTCTCTTTTCAATTTGGCTGAAAATTTAGTTGTTTACATGTTCTGATTGATAAACTAGGGTTTATGAGTATTTTAGTGTAGTTAGATTCGTAAACACAGTAGGATTCGAATATGATTCGTTACAAATCGTTTGATGTTCTGTAACCTGAATCGGGTGATTCGCGATTCAGTTTTCATTACATAGCATTCATGATGAAGGAACAAAAACTGAAAAAATTAGAAAGGAACATATAGGAAAAGAAACTCAGCGAAGATGAAAGTTCAGTGGAAAAGATGAACGGCGGAGAAGATGAATGGGAATAATACTAAATAGGGAACTGGATAAGATAAATAGTGAGAAGGGAGAAAACATCAGATAATAGGACAAACGCAGAAGACAAACATTAAATAGAGAACTGGAGAAGATAAATAGGGAGAAGGGAGAAGATGAGAGAGATGAACTGAGAAGAAGATTAGAGAAGGAAGAGAAAATCAATCTTGAAGAAGATTAACCCACGAACACCGGGAGAAGATGAATAGGAGGAAGAAGATCAAGAGAGATCTGAAAAGTTTTATTACAGTAATATTTTAAAATATAAATCTTTTTCATCTTTTTATCTGTTCTCTACAAATTTAATCATACAACTTACTTTCATATTTTGCAGTTACAGTCATAATTTATATATTTTATTTTATTTTTTATAAAAACGTAATATTATATTTTAGAAAAAAAATAGTTATTGTTTAAATTAATATAAAGTGTTATAACATGTTTTTTTTATAAAATTAGCTGTTGTTTAATTATTTTTTATTTAATTTCTTTTAAAAAAATTCTCGGTATTATTTAAATTAGTATATATTTATTCTTATATTTCTTATATTAAATTAGCTTTTTAAGGATTATTTTTAATTTAATTTTTTTTGAAATAAAATACAATTGAATTAGTTATAATCTTTTTTGTAAAAATTAGTGATTGTTTTAGAATTTTGTTTATTTTATCTTTTAGATTCTACAAGTTTCGTATCTTGTGATTCAAACCAAGATTTGATTCACGATTCGAATATCTGATTCAATAAACTATAACCATTTTGAGGGTTTGGACTCAAGTTTAGACTCTTGCAGGTTGGAGTTTTTTGTTGTGCTGAATTGTGTGCTCACTTTGACATGGTGTTTGGGTGTGATTTTTTGTTGCAGTGTTGGAGACTATGCCGGAGAGGATGGGGGCAGCAATTATGCTCAGCAGTTCAAGAATTTGGGTAAGCTTGTGAAGAGAATCGATGGGGACATCTTGTCTAAATTAGATGGTTCTGCTAATGCCAGCTCATCAAGTAGAAGGTGAATTTGGATCTGTGAACTTTTTCCTTTTTTAATATTAACTGGGAGCGCACATCTTGTGTAACTCTGTGATAGTGAATGCTTCAACTTTTCTGAATTAGGCCATTGTGTAAAGTTTAAAACTTTTACATTTATAGTGAATGAAAATATCAGTTTAAAGATTTTGACACCATCAGGCTATTATATCCAAAATGCATGATTGATGGTAATTTATAACTCAGTGGATGAAAATTAAATATCACTTCTTTTGTGGATAACTAGTATTGTGAGACGAACCAGTAGTGTTATTAAAGATTTTCAATGACCTGTGTTCAGCTTTCTGTTTTCGTAATGTAATCATGTCAATTGAGAAAATCTACCCATTTATTTTAGTGTTGGGTCGTTGTATTGGATAACTGTGGCATTACCCCTTTATATAAAAGCTTTATTGCAAAATGTTTTTTAGGAACTGGGATCGTCTTTGAAAAATTGTCTCGTTCTCTTCTTTACAGCTCAGAAACAAGGGACAGAACTAGACAAGAGATACCTGAGCCTGTTGGTGGATTTGGTGAACCTGCTGGTCCTCCAACTCAGTAAGGGTTTAATATTACTCTGTTGCTTTCGCCATTTCAATGATTTTTGTTACTGCTCAATGGATTGATTATCAATTATTTGATTTTACACACTTTTACTGTTGGCAAATTTGAGCGTTAAAGTCCATAGATCTATGTCAGGGTCTAGTGTAGTTGATGTTCCGTACTTGAAAATTATGAAAGCGGTCTGTGGTATGGGCTTATTAATTTTGAGATAATTTGTCTACGCATGCCTTTAATTATGATGTCTTATACACGATGATAGTTTCCTCTGATTCTATCAAGTTGAAGGATGTCCTGATATGTCTTCAAACAGTGCTTGTTTCTGCACCTCAACTAAACTAGTCGATTTGCACAAAATTATCTGAACCTAGCCAAGTTCACCTGACTCTCTAATCGGGATTGAGTTTTCTGCAAATTGGTGTGTAGTTTATGGACCCACTGCACATGGTGTGAGATTTGAGATGGACCATTTTAATGATCAGAGATCTTGGGATTGATTGATTTCGGTATGTGAGAACAGATTCTACCGTGATCATACTAGTATCTATGATTGTAGTTTGCGAGCTTTGAACAATGTCCCCCAAACTTGCACGAATGCACCATTCCTATATGGAAAAGGTAGCATTACAGAACTAAATTAGAGGTAGCATTACAGAACTAAATTAGATCAACAGACTGATATGAAAGAACGATGTTCCCAGTTCCAATGAAAATTCCCCTTTTGTCGCAAGTTATGACCAAAATCCCCCACCCCAGTTGAATTTATATATTTAGACAAATTCATCTGATCTGCTTTCTCTTCATAAATAAATTTATCCCCTAATTCTTTATATAAGTCAGTCCGTGCTATTCCCTTGCAAGTCATGATAATCTTAGGCCTCCATGAATACTTCTAGGGTCCTTTTAGTTCCAGATTATTGGCAGCCAGGTTCTTATCGTGCCACTTGCATGGATGCTTACGGTGCTAAATATTCTTTTAAGAAACTTATTGACTATGATGCCATATTTATGTTTCTTGATCAAGGATGAATTTCTTCATTGTGAATTGAAGGATGACGTACATTCTGGCGCAAATTATCCATGGACAGTGGTGAATACCACTATTTCTTTTCTTCCTCCTGGAGAGGAATGATTTACTGTTAATTACTCTCTGAGAAGACCCTTTTTCTGTTTTTCCTCCTAACTGGCATACCTATTAGAAATGGAACCATCACTTGCCTACGTGCCAAGCTGGTTTTAGTATCATTCTTGTAAATGTTCTGCATATAACTGCTACTTGCCTTTCTTGCTTCGTACTTATTAATTGTGTTTTTACTATTTTGTTTCCTTTTCTACAGGATTATTTTCCCTTCAGTTCCCATTGGTTCTGGTAGTGATCTTGTTCCTGGGCCGCCTGCTGGAGTGCTTCCTTCAAGGTATTCTTACCTGCATTGCTTTTTCATGCTCTTAACATAGTTGTTACACCCTCCTGTTTTTTCTAATCCTTTTACCCCTTGAAACTTTCCTCCCTTGATTTCAGGGGTGGTCATGGCATTGGTGGGAGCATGCATTTAGGTAAGTTTAACATATTTCAATTTAGTTTTACGAAATTGGGTATTATTTTTTCATAACCGTAATTGCCGATACTAAGTTCAACATTTGGAATCAGGGCCTAATGACCCCATGTGGTTTGGTGGTATTGGTCGAGATCCTGCTTTTCCTGGAGGAATGCCGTAAGTTGCTTAGATCTCTCTCTCTCTCTCTCTCTCTCTTTCTTTTCGTTTTTAAATTTCGGAGTTATCGGTGTAGTTAAAGGCTGTGAAACCTAAAAGGCATGCCTTGCTAGCTGAGGTGAGGGTAGCGAAGGTTCCAACTTCTTGCTGAGGCAATGTCCATCACTTACTCCTTGACTGTGTTTTCTGCGAGAGAGCCTGACCAATGTGCATTGGGTTTAATAGACCCCAACTAATGAAAAACACCAACTTTCTTTATGTAATAGAAGAGGGTGAATTGGTCTGTTTCATATTTTTTGGAGTAGTTTTCTGTTCTTTTTATCTGAATGGTTTCGATTGTGTCACAACTTGCATTAGTTTAAAAAAGTCATTTCGCCCAAAATATTTTAAAGAGTATTGTTTTTTTTCTCTATCATTTATATTCTTTGGTTTCATATCACAGTCGGCATGCATTAACGTTTTTTATTTAAAAGTTAATTTAACTAAAATTTATGACTTTTCAACAATAAAACTGAATTTTATTAAAATTTCTTACCTCTTTTTTACTTTAACTGAAATAATGGGAAAAATGAGTATTTTTGAAAAGAATGGAGAAAATAAATGAGGAAGTGGATAGGGTAGGATGAATTTTACCTTTTTTGCTCTTTCTCTATATTCAGTGGTTTGGTGCCTTCCACCTCGAGTCTTAAGTGCCTCTTGTGCCTAAAGGAATTCATGGTGTCATTTGCTTTTGACTGCCCTGTATCTTGTACCTGTGGCTAATTTTTAATCTTATCTGTGGTATAAATCTATGTAAATAGGGGTCTTCCTCCGGGCGCGCGTTTTGATCCATATGGTCCTCCTGGTGTTCCTGGTTTTGAACCCAACCGATTTGCAAGGTATGGCTCAAAGACTCGTGTATTTCATATAAGTATATTGCTTTAATAATGTCATTTGCATTTTTAAACCATGTACGTATTCTATGTATTGTTCTCTTTTATACGCTGTTCTATTTTCGTGTTCATCTTTTTCTCTTTTTATGTATGTTAATGTTATTGTATACATAGGATGTTGAAAGTGAAACCCGGTTGTAAGTCTGAACTGGGATTATTGTTAAAGGGGTAGTGATTCAGATAGAAGAATTTAAAAAAAGTAGAGAGCGGGTTGAGGATATTCGATACCTTGAATTTTAAAAATAGATTATCTCGAAAACACGACCTTAAGCTCGGCTAAGTGTTAGTGCAAATGTATAGCTGGGAAAATTGTTATGCTTGCCTGATTTGAGGTTTTCTTATATCATCATACACTTTTATAAACACAGGTTAAAATAGTTAAAAGGTGTAAACTTTTGTATTATTTAAAAAAAAATATAATAAAAAGTGAGTAAGAATAGTGTCAAATGTAATATTTAAGTGTGTTAAAAGAATTTTTACTCTTTCCAAATGATTAAAAGAGTCCCATTTTTAGTGTACAAGTATGAAGATATTTAAAAATTTGTGGAATAAAATAAAATATATACACGGCGTTTCTGACTCCCTTGCTGCAGGAATCCTAGGAGACCAGGATATGACGGTCATCCAGATCTGCAACATTTTCGAAGAGACGCTGATTCAGACTACATATAGATATATATTATATTTTAGTTGTCGTAATATGGTCGGGTTCTATCTACGAACAAGTTGTCTAGTCAATCTACTAAAACAATTTCAGCAAACACTATACTCTGGATTATTCTTCATGCGGATTTTCTTTCATGTGTGTATAGTTAAGGATTTAATTACAAATTTATCGTTTGAATAAGATCTGCCTTCATTTAGTTTTTATCAATGTTAATTGGAATTATGTTGTCTGCACTTGGACATTATTTTAACAGTCATTTTAATCGTATATGGAATTATGAGAGATTTACCTCTTAAGTATATTTTTTGACGATAAAAATCAATAATAAGGATGATAAGAAAATCAATTATAATAAAATTGAAATTAGTTATGATCACAATATCTCCGATTTCAGAATTTACATCTGATTCCAGGACTTACGTCAAACTAAAATAACGCAAAATATTTTAATTTAATGTCAGCCACCTACCTAACTGTATTACAATTTCATTAGTATTAAAATAATTAATGGCACGTTACCAGTAAATCATGGTTAATTTGACCTACATGTGGACGTAAACTGTGAAGCTATTTGTTAATTCTGAATTTTTATTATCAGATCCATTTATTTGATTAAACAAACAACTTTCGTCTTATAGTTTACTTCACCTACTGGAATGAGTGAAATCCATAATGAATTCTACTTTTTAACTAAAATGTTAAAATTTTTATTTATGTTTATAGTTTTGGCTTAATCACGTATTTAGTTCATTATGTAGAAAGTAATCCATTTTTGCTTGTCCAAAGTGCATTTCACTACTTCAAAAAATTTGAAATACTTTTCTAATATCTAGAGTTGGACAGTATTATCGGAATAGATGAGAAGTGCTGAATGACTTTGTGAATATTTTGCGTACATCCCATTATCACGTCTGACTCAAGAAGTAAAAATATATTTTTAAACTTTAGGAACATTTTTTTATATTTATTTTAAAGATAAAAACAAATATACTTCAAACTTCAGAACTAAAACGTAATTATTTGTTTTTACTCTACTTTTTAGTATGACCAGTTTTTCAAATATATAATTCAATATGCTTGCGATAATATACTATGAGTTAATAGATTTTTTATGATAACTAGTTTAAGAGTTATGGAAAGGTTTAAAGTTAATAATTCATAATTATTAAGCTGTTAAACTAATGAAAAACTAAAATATTAAAAAGCTCTAAGATAATTTTATGACTATAAAATTATTTAATTATAGATAAGTTAATACATGTAAAATTAATAGATTTTGTGTTTTAAGTATATATAATTAAAAGTGTCAATTTGATTCATGAATTAACTATAATATATTTTTAAATAAGTTTTCTTTTTGTTAATATATGGATTAAAAAAGTTTAAGTTGACAAATTTCGCTCTTAAATTAGGTTAAGATTGTAGCGGAAATAGATTTGATCTTATTACAATATTTTAATTAATTTATAATATAATAATTTTACTCAAATGAAGATTGAATGGAATCAATTTAAGTTAAAGGTTGAACTACTTTGAGATAAAAATCAAACCAAATTGGTTTAAGTCCAGGATTAAGCTAAATTACCAAATATAGTTCTTATTGTTTTATCAATTCATACAATATGATTCATGAGTTAGTTTTGACTTACAAATTTATTGTTGTTGTTTTAGTCATGTGAACTTTTCGTTATATAAATCTTTTAATTTTGTGAACTTTTTTAGTCTTGGTTCATTTGAGTCATGTATAAATTATATGGACTAGACCAATTTGAAAATTTGTTATTGTTTGACTGTTTTGTTCGTAGGTCATTGGTGATAACATATTTGAATTTTATTAATGGCTAACTAAGAAAATATTGTCATTTAATTACATTTTTTATTTACAAGTCCAGATTATTGTATATTTTATTTATATTTTAAAATTAAAAACTCTGTGGAAGAATTCGAGTTGAATTTCACTTGTACAAACTGGTAAATTTACACTACCTACTAAATTTAATAATTGATCACAAAATGACAAACACAACTAGTGTGAAGATAAGCCAAAAAGATTAAAAATGTAAGACCTTTATTGATGCATGAAGCTGAATGCTCTACCTAAAGTTTCTATTGATTTATTAACTTTTGAATTCAGTACAGTTTTAAAATATAATAATTTTTGAATCTGTATTAATTAATTGATTGTTAGTATTTAAATTGTGTGTCTTCTCTATAACATTTTTTTTCATGGTGTTGCCTTCTAATAACTTATTTCAGTATAATTTTAAGTTTTCCTTAATTAAGTATCAGCTCAAAGTTTTTCTTATCACATTCACGGCTTACTTAATCTTTTTCACCTAAAAGTGATTATTCGATCCACCATCCGTCTAACATATTTGAATGACGTAATTTCATTGATATTAAATCGAAGTTTCTTCAGTTAAAATTTACTTATTAAGAAAATATAGAACATTTATAATCATTTTGAATGTTTATAAAATACAATCAAAGTACATTGGCAGTATAAAATTATGTAAGTTGTTAAAATGAATTTTAATTAATATATATATATATATATATATATATATATATATATATATATATATATTAAAATATGTTGGAGTTGTTACAATAATTTGTTATTAGTTAATTGTATATATTTTTGTTCTAAAATCTCCAAAAGTTGTGATATATATAGTACAGGTTTTTGTGAGAAAAAATATTGTTAAGTCTAGAGTGGTTACAAAAGTGGCATTATAAATATCACTCCTTTTTTTTTTCTCTCTTAAACCAACAGACGTTGTCTAGTCGACATTTTTTTAGTCTGTTAATTTTATTTGTCCCATTCAGTGTATCAGTTCGACATGCAATAAGAAGGATGGATTCACTTGTTAACCCAATAATTTTTAAAATTATTATAATTGAAATAAAATTTATATATTTGAAAGGATTATTTATATTATACATAATTGTAAATTAAATTTAAATTTTTAATTATATTAAATAATTAAATAGTTAAAGTAGTATTTTTTTTTAGCTTTGGAGAGACTGAACGTTTGTCGCTTATAAAGTTAAACATTACGAACCTTCCTGTCTCCACACAAAGAACTAATACGAAGGTATTATCGAATTATTGTAAGAGAAAATACAAAGTTTATGCAAATTATTCTTTATTGTTGAGAAAAGTCGAAAGCAACATGGAATCGTCATTGCTATCGTTTGTATGTTTGTTTATAAATTTAAAGTTGTGGTGCCTGAGGGCTGATCTTGGTGGGAAGTGTAGGTCCCATAGCATATTTGTGGGACGATAAAACCTTTGGGATCTCCAAGGGTTGGGTTATGTGTGGTGCTGTTATTCTGCACTAACTTCTACTTTATCTATGCTTTATGCTTTTCAACTATTATTATTGCTGTAAAATCCGTGTCTGCATGCATAAGCTCACAAATATGCTCACTATTGTTTCTTGGTCTTGCTTGCTTGGAATATTATAAATTAATTTATATATTCATATAAATTAGCATTATATATGTGATTGCAAAATAATGAAGAGGGTCAAGTGGTGAGGGATGAATGAACAAACAAAGTTCAATCTCATAGAAAGAACATAAAAGTCGAGGCTGGAGTACCACACGTTGACGAGTTTTGATGGGAATCGAACAGTGACCAAATTGGAATCAAATCGATAGAGCACCAAATTCAAATACTAATAAAAGAAGAGCATAATACAAAAAGACCAACACAAGGGGACATCACATCTATATGTTTTTTCTTTTATATATGTATATACACACACTTTAATATCAAGGTAGGTGCAGCTGTACGAGTTTTTTAAACAACGTTTTTATCTTATTTTTCAGAAAGTGTTTTATTCTGTAATGGGTATTTAATAATTAATTAATAAGTAACTTAGTGATTAATATTGTTAAAATGAGTTGTAACTTTTTAGATCAATTCAATCCACTCTATGTTTTTGGTCAAATGGAGTTTGAAAAAAAATAGAATTTTTTTATACGGATTAGTTTTCAACTTGGTCTATTTAAAACTGATTCAACCGTGGTGAGTCAGGTTCATTAACCTATCTAATTTAATTTAATTATTTATTATTTTTGTATTTCAATATTATTAGTTAATCTTTTCTTATTGTATTGTAGACAAGGATAGAGAAGAAGATGTTAGAAAAATATTATAGATTTATCCGTTCAAAACATTAATCTTATAAATGGATAAATACAAAAATTATCAATATTAGAAACTTATTTGTTTGTCTTTTGTGCTTGTTTTTTATTACATTTGGACTGTATGGTTTTCTTTTTAAATTATCTTTAGATTTTAACATCGTTTTATAGTAAAATTATTTAAATTTAAATTAAAAAAGATCGTATTTTTTTATTTAAAAAAAACTTGTAATTAAGTGAATCAATCGGTTTAATCCATCAATACGTGATGAGTTGAGTCAGATTCAATTTTACGATTCATTAATAAGTGAGATAAATTGGGTTGACTCACCAAGTAATTAAGATGAGCTGACAGGGTTATTTTGACAGCTCTAATTGTATTGTTATATATAATTATGAATTTGTTAAACATTTCTTAGTTTTTTAATAAAAGGTATAATTAAAAGTAAGTTACCTATTTTTTAAAAAAATCAAATATGTTATGATTTGATGTATAGAAATATTTTAGGTGACTTTGTAGAGTTATCTTCACCCGGGAAAACAAAGATTAGCTACACTGACTGATTGTGGTACATATAAAGGTTCTTTAGATCGTCACGCACACTCACAAAAGCTTTCTGTATTCGAGTAGAAACAGAAATTCGAATGAAGTGATCAATAGAAATACGTCTTTGAAGTGTGGTAAATAAAAAAAAATGTATATATAACCAATTGCCGTTGGCTTAAATATAATTGTTTGAGTTATTTAAAAAAGGGGATTAAATTACTGATTATTTAGAGTTGAAAGTGAAATCATTTTTTGTTAAGACAAATCCAAAACAATTTGAGATTAATTAATTATAAAACTAAAATATTATTCTTTTAGCAGGCGCCACAAAAGTATAGGAAAATTAAAAAGTGTTTCCGTAATACTTTCCTATTTTATAAACTGTACCGAGATTGTATATATCAATGAAAAGTACTATTAAT